TCTTGATGTTGAGCTTCAATCCATATTGAAGACTGCAGTCCTTGACCTTCTGCAGCAAGCACTTCAGGTCCTCCTCAGTTTCAGCAAGCAGGGTGTGTCATCCGCATAACAGGTTGTTGATGATCCTTCCACCAATCCTGATGCCACATTCCTCCTCATACAGCCCAGCGTTCTTCCTGAAATATTTCCATGTCGGCCAATTCTTTTTGGTACAGTGATTTAGTGTATTCCTTCCCTCTTCTTTTGGTGCTTCTTTTTTTTTTTCTTTTGGTGCTTCTTGAATCATTCAAGATTTTTCCATTGTTGTTGTGTGCCACTGAGTTAGAACTAATCCATAGCTGACCCTCCAGTGGTTTTTTTTCCCCCCAGTGGGTTTTAAGAGGCAGTAATTTGTATGAGAGAGTTCCCATCTGTTTCCTTCAGAGCAACTGGTGGATTTGAACTGTATGCCTTTGGGATTGCAGCATAGCTTCTTACAACTAGGACACCAGAGCTCCTATAGCTTCTCTAATTATTGCAACTTGAAGCTTGAATTTGTTTTTTAGTTCCTGTTAGGGGAGCAAAAATTAATAAATAGGTAAATTGAGTGAAGGAAGGCAATGTAAAAGGTTTCAGCCAGGCTTATCTCCTATCATCTGATCTAACTCCTCCCCCCAACAACTTGAACTCAGTTATTCTGTTTCCTTATATCTTGTCAATACCCTGTGGATTTGTTCTCTTTATGAAGCCCCCAAGTTGATCCCCTTATGTAGAGACCTTCTTTTCTTTAGATTTCAAAATTCTGTTCATATTTGTAGGCCTAAGTCAAGCTCCACTTTACACTAAATTCCTTCCTGATCATTTTAGGGCTTATTTTCTCACTGTTTTAGAACTTACTATTAATTCTTTTTCTGGCAATTTTTTAACTTCTAAGGCCTCCTTTTTTTCTGAAATCTTGGATGATAAAGTTATCACAGACAAAATCAAGTCAAGCACTCATCGCAACCCTATCAACAAAACTCCTGAAGCCTTTCTATAACTATCATTGTTTCTCAAAGTTCATAGGGTTTCCAGAGGCATGTTGTTTAGGAAGTGCCACTCCTGCTTCCAATAACATTATTAGTCTTCTTTTATTGCAAGATAGAATTCTAAGATCTACTGAAATAAAAATATGCCAACCCTAAGGCTTAATTTGGGGGGGGGACAACCCACACACTGATCACTGGGGAAACTGGATTTTTTAAAAATTTTTATTATTTTTAATGAAAATTTACAGAGACTTTGGATTTCCATTCATTC